AATTCCATTTGATAAATCCTGGTTTTGTTATGTGATTAAATGGCAAGTCGGGATGTGAAGTATTTTTTCAGCCGGTTATCATTTTTTATTAACTAAACCATTTTGTTATTCCCCTATATATGTTAGCATTCTTTGTGCGTCTTCTTAATTTAAAGAATTTTTTGGACTATGGGTAATCGATCGTTTCCAACTGTTAAATCCTGTGTACATTTGTCTGATTTGAATGTAAATTCACAAACAAATGGAGGAAGTGACTATGTGATCCACACAAAAACAAAATTCAATTTATATGACCAACATTATAATGCCACAGCTCCCAATTCCAAAATATAACTCTTTGTTTATCTCAGATAGTTCTTGATAGATGATAATAAACATAAATTCTGGCAACATATATTTATATTTTTTTTTTCTTCACATGCGACACATGATTATAAGTATTATTATTATCTAACACAAATTATATAACATAAACTAGTTATCAACCATTTTACTCATTTGACTCACACAGGAAAAACTAGGAAGGTCTCTCACAATTTGCCAAGACAAATATGAATCAGCCAAGCTCCAGCCGAACAACAACTATTCCATGAAAAAATTGGAGTAGTGTATTGAACTTTCTGTTCAGGACAACATCAACATGATGCCACATGTTGCTCGGAAATTGAAGACATATTTGTTACTCGAAGATTAGAGACTAAATTGTCATGAAGCATACATAAATTGATTGTTCTTTCATGTTTTGTCCTTATAAAATTGCTATCTTTAAGAATATATTTGTTTACTCTATGATATCAAGATAGCCCCTGAGTTGTAATGATATGAGATAATCTTTTGGTATGTTCATAATGTGGAATGCATCAATAGTCGGCATTGACATTCACATGGCAAGAGCGATTTAAGATCGGTAAAAAAGAAGCAATTTTGCTACCCTTTTTATCTGGAGTTCAAGTGAACTGTTAGATATAAACAACAAAACACATATTTATGCTGATGCAACAAAAATAGTAAGGTAAGTCATGAAAATTTAAAGGACTTCAAACTTTTTGGGTCTTAAGAGTGAGAGATTTAGTATGGAAATTTTAATGACATATCCCATTTATTCAAATGTGCATTCCTTTTTTAGGTGGAAACCATTATTTGTAGACAAATTCTTGCATGAATGTCTAATCATTAACTTTGCTTTTAACATATTTGAAATGTATTAGTTTTGCATGGATTTAGATCTTTGTTGGTTCTTCCTCAAAGATATTAATATGCTTTTGTGGAGTTACTTCAACTTAAAAAAGGGGGGTGAATTATTTATTTAAAAAAATAAAAAAACCTGTGGACAAAAATAAAAAGAAAAAAAAAATGTGTGGAACAAAATCAAAAGCACGTATTACGAAAATACGTTTTTCTAATTTCTTTTTTTAAAAAACGTATTTTAAAAATACGTTTTATAATTATATTTTAAAAATAAAAAATAATAATTATAAAACGTATTTTTGAAATACATTTTATATTTCTATAATTTAATTTTTTTTTAAAAAAAAAAACTTATTAAAACGTATTTTGAAAATACGTTTTTAAAAAAATCCTAAATCAATTTTAAAACGTATTTTCGAAATACCTTGCTATAATTTAATTATTTTTTAAAAAATCTATTAATAAAAAAATAAACATCTAAAAATAAATTGTTAATATTGATATAGATATATAAAATTACATACATATATCATCACGTGTACAATGAGCAAAATAAAAATATATGTATTATCACATGTGTGTGTATAAGGAGAAAATAAAAAAACATAACAAAATAAGAGACTCTAGAGGTCTTGAACCCATGACCTCCCACCAAAATAAAGAATAAGACTAGCAAGGTAACCACTCCACTAAGAATATTTTGTCAAAAAAATGTCAACAAGTAATGTAGATATAGACGTAATTCAGTACAAATACGCGTTTTCCAATTTTGCCCATTGGTTCGTGAAATTGATGTTGATAGCATTGTTGTGGTAATAAAAATTTCGTAAAAAGAGTCTCCGTTTGGGAGATATAGAGGTTTGAAAATTTGAAAAACCTAGAATTTTGCTTAAAAATTAAATTAACCTTAGAAAAAGGCGTTTTTTTTCAAATTTTTGTCGGTCAAACCGCCTTTGGCTATTAACTCGCATGTCGACACGACTCTGTCGACATGCTCAAATCGACTTCCCTAAAGTCGATTCTACCAAGAGCAACCGAGAAGAGGCAGAAATTGGTCTAGTCGACTCTCGCAAGTCGACCTTAGTCTATCGACTTTCACTAGTCGACATCAATGGAAGAAGGACAGCAGGAGCATAACGCCTGGGCATCCTAGTATCCTTAGTCGACTTCCATTAGTCGACTCCACTATGACGACTCTCTGAAGACGACTTCACCACAGAGTTAAACCAAGCGTAGCCTCCGAAATCGCACATATTCATAAGTCGACCTCTTAACTCTCGAGGTCGACTCTGTACATCTCGAGGATCAAAGCAGTGATGACGATTCACAACACTTACAACATATCCGAAGCTCTACACATTACAAAGGATAAGAAGGAATTTTGTGATGACTCAGCAACAAGGGGAGACGA